TTTTTCTAACATGATATTTGCTTCCTGAATGTGTTATATAATTTTGTATATTTTAAACTTCCTTACTCTATTTCTGTTCCTTTTTAAAAATATTAATATATTTTTTAAACTTTATTTAAAATGTTTAAATTGGTGTTGGATTAACTTAATTAATTAAGTCTTGTAAATATGAGCATGAATTTATCTAAATAAACTAATCTTAATTAAACTATAGTCATCTGCTTTTTGTATAAATAAAATCCATTATTTATGAATTATATTTCATTGGAGAAATAATAATTTCTTACTTTATTTTTCAGATAGAATCTAACTGGTTGCATCCACAACAATAATTTATCCATTTTATTTTAATTTCAGGTTGCTGTACAAAAGACGTCTTGAAGCATCGGCAGCTACATTTAAACAAATATATATATTTTAATACATAAATTATTTATTTTTAGTTATTCAATTTTTTTTAATTTTTCGTTTAGATTGTTTCTATCGGAGAGTTATTGGATGTAGCCCATAGCCATTACAAAATGCTGCATTGGAAAGATGATAACAAAGATGAAGGGAAAGATGCCTACAAACGTCTCGATTCAGTGGAGGTAGTTGTTTAATTACTAATGCACTTCAATTTTGCATACTTATAATTGTTTGATTTGTTTGCAGTCATCATAGGAGCAGTAAATGGTGTTCGGTGATTCTGCCAATTTAATATGAAGTGTCCGACAAACGCCAGCAGTTACTTGAAATCAACTTTTTAAAAGATCTATATATAAGTCGTAAAAACGCAATCAAATTTTGCAATGTTGTAACGAAACCGATTTTTTGTGAACCAATGTAAATGATTTGCAACTGTTAATATATATCAAATGAAGGATAAATCGATTACCTTTCTTTTGATTATAGTATTGTTAAAATCGCTTAAATATTTTATAGAAATTTTGCAACTTTTGTAAACATCTATATGTAAGCAGTGAAAAAGTCGTAAAATTTTGCAAAGTTGTAATATAACTGAATTTTTGTGAACCAATGTAAATGATATGCAACTGTTAATATATATTCAAATATCAAAAGAAGGGTAAATCGATTACCTTTCTTTTGATTGTAATATTGTTAAAATCGCTTAAATATTTTATAGAAATTTTGCAACTTTTGTAAACATCTATATGTAAGCAGTGAAAAAGTGTCAAATTTTGCAAAGTTGTGATAAAACTGAATTTTTGTGGACCACTATAAATTATTTGCAACTGTTAATATATATCAAAAGAAAGGTAAATCGATTACCTTTCTTTTGATTATACTTTTGTTAAAATCGCTTAAATATTTTATAGAAATTTAGCAACTTTTGTAAACATAGATATGTAAGCAGTGAAAAAGTCGTAAAATTTTGCAAAGTTGTAAATAACTGAATTTTTGTGAACCAATGTAAATGATTTGCAACTGTTAATATATATCAAAAGAAAGGTAAATCGATTACCTTTCTTTTGATTATACTTTTGTTAAAATCGCTTAACTTTTGCTTACTCTAGAGTTTCTAGTGATATTAGTAGTAAAACCAAAAATTCTTCATACTAAATATTCGTTGGCGTCACCTTCGTTTGCGTAATTTTCTAGAAAAAGTGTAGAATAGCGACCGTTTAACTATAAAACAACCAAAAATGCCGATTGATAGAACTTTTTACGCTGATTTCAACGATACCAAATTTATTTGTCACTGGTAAAAATAGAAGATATAAGAGGTTTATTTGTATTTTTTATTATCACTAAATTGTTGAAACCCAAAAGTAGATCCTGATAAAGTATGTAATATCGAATTAAAGATAATAACTTTTACTTTCTAAATTATATAAAATTCTTTACCATTAGTTATGCAGTTTTTTCAAAAAAGGTTATTTCATGAAATAATAAGATTTCTTCGATTTTTAGTGGTTTGGTTTAAAAATACAAAAAGCTATAAATTATGTACATCAGCTGAAGAACAAATTAATTACCTTTATGGTGACGTCATTAGCTGTTTAATTGGTTATAAAGTACATCTTTTTCTTCTTTTTTGGCGCTGTAACCGCCTAAGCGATTTTGGCC